CATACTTCTCACCATATCCTTAAGAATCTTGTTTCTACGTTCTGCAACACCGTCCATGCTAGGTTTCCCAAGAATAATATACTGAGGAACGATGCCACATTCCCTCAGGAAAAGCGCAAAAGACCATGGACATTGTTCACCTGATCCATCATATCTACCGTAATATTCACCACCACGATCAGATTTGACAGCCTTAATTTTCTTTCCAAGTTGAAACTCAACTTCAACTTTAAAAGATTTGAAAATATCTAGGGATTGAGACTTCTCATGAATTAAAAATAGGTAGTCGTACCTTGAATAATCATCTATGAACGTAATAAAATATTGTTGCCCATTCCAAAATGTCGTAGGGAATGGTCTACAGATATCTATGTAAATTAATTCCAAAATGTCTTTTGTCCTTTCGACACCTAATTTTCTAGAATTTGTTTGTTTACCCTTAATACATTCAACGCAAACCTCAAAATCTAACAAGTCTAAGGGTTCAAGAATCTCATCTGACACAAGCCTTTGTATTCTCTGTTAGAGATATGGCCTAAACGCTTATGCCATAAGGTGGTTGAGTTCTTATTTATTTTACGCTTCGTACCACAAGAATCAATGCGAAAAATTTCTTTATTGAAACTAACTACATCTAGTAAGTATAGGTTATCAATTAAAGAACCAGAACCAACAACATTTGAATTTTTATAGAGGCTAATTTATTATTTCCAAATGAACAAGAAAAACCAAATTTGTCCAAACTAGAAATAGAAATTAAATTCTGCCTAAAAGATGGTACAACAAAAGTCTCAAATAAATCCAAATGAAATCCAGTTTTTAAGTGTAATCTAAATGTTCCAATAGCCTCCACTGTGACCTTGTTGCCATCACCTACATAGATAAATCTTTCATTATCACTTGGCAGTCGGCTCTAGAGGCAACCTTACATGGATACACTAATGTGAGTAGTAGCACTAGAATCTACCCACCAAGTATCATGTGGTACAAAAGCTAAATTAACTTTAGAAAAAACAAAAGAAAGAAAATTGCCTTTATTTACACACCAAGAGGCGTACTTGGGACACTCTTACTTCATGTGCCCAGACTTCTTGCAGAAGAAGCAAGTAGGTGTATTCTCATCCTTTTGACTTTCTTTTGTTGAGAAGTCCTTTCTACAACATCCTTATTATTCTTTCTCTTTCTATTCTGAGAGCTTGAAGCTAAATGAGCACTTTCAGTCTTTTCTCTTGGCTGCCTTTCCTCCTCTTACACATAGTGAGAAATCAGTTCATTCGAGGTCCATTTATCTTTCTGAGTATTATAACTCACCCTGAATTGTCCAAAGTGTGTAGGAAGGGAAATCAAAACTAGGTGCACGAGAAAGTCATCAGACAACTCTAACTTTAGTGTTTTTAGTTTTGACGTGAGATTAGACATTTCCATAATGTACTCCCTTATATTTCATTTACCTTTGTATCTCATAGAGATAAGCTTAGCAAGCAAACTGCTTGCATCAACTTTGTTATTGCTAGTGAAATACTGCTCAACAGCATCAAGGAAACCTTTAACATTGTGGCTCTCAGAAATAGAGCCCCGAAAACTTCTAGAATAGATCGCTTCATGATCATCAGACACATTCAGTTTGAGCGTTCCCACTTTTCAACCTTATCCTCATCCGGGTTTTCCGGAGTTGGAGTGGGTTTCTCAGCCCGAAGTGCAAGATCAAGATCCATGCAGCCAAGAATTATTTCAACTGCTTCCTTCCAGGCCTTAAAGTTTGTCCCATTAAGCATGGGTATACAATTAATTTAAGCAGACAAGTTAATAGCACTAGCAACAACAACTGTAATAGAACATAGAAAAAAAGTTAATTACATGCTCACAAAGCAAAATAAAAATAAAATAAAATAAATAAAACATGCAGATTATTTACATAATAGACCCATTAAAAGATATCGAGCACAACATTAATTCTTTGTCTTTGAACATACAAATTAACTTATTAGTAGTACTCTCAATGCAACGATCAAATATTGAAAATTAATTCTATCACATAATAGCCTTTCTTTGGATCGACTATTATTCACATGATTGTAACTTTATAATTGTCACATATTTATCATCACAGACATGTTATTATTTGGCCAAATTGTATCTTCATTTGAGATTAACACAAATTGCATAAATAATCTCATACTAATATCTATTGTAATTTTTTTAATTAAATTAATTGATATAACAGAGATTGCTTTGGCAATATATTACATCAATTAATTTAATTAAAATTAGTAGACAATTGATTAATAAAGAGGGTCTATATTATGCCAAAATTCGCACTCAAATTTGAAAAAAAAAAATCAATTCAAATTTGAACATAATATCAATGGTTGAGAGAATTTTAAATTTCAAGAAAATAATTCTGACGTGAATTCCATTAAGATTTCGATAATGTGGAATTTAATACATATATACATATAATTGTCCCAAATATCATTTAATATTACAACAATGACCTTGACAAAATTATTCCACTTTTGGTGGTACTTAAAGGAACAAACATAATATTTATATTATATTTGTGTCTTTATCTATTCTTTTCCTTTTCACTTTTCATATTATTTTCCCACTTCCAGTGAGGAAATTCTTTTATTTCATTGTTGTACAATTATCTCACTTCCAGTGAGAAAATATTCTTTTATTTCATTGTTGCACAATTATCTCACTTTCGATGAGAAAATATTCTTTTATTTCATTATTGCATAATTATCTCACTTCCGGTGAGAAAATTAAAATGCTTAAAATTTCTTCATTTGACAATGTCTTCTAGATCATTGCAAAAATTTTATGTGTGTGCATATACATATATATATATATATATATATATATATAACATTCATGAAAAATTATACAATTTCACAATACATAAAAAAAATCCCTTTAATCAATCCCGTTAATAAAAATTCAATTTTTAATTGATCCCCGGATCCATACAACGAATTAAACCAAATTGAAGCTATCATACGACCAACGCATTCAAATACACTTACAGTCAATGAAAAAAAAATTGTAATAATACGCTTTAGAACTTTATAACCTAATGAAAAAGAAGGCTCTGATACCACTTGTTGGGATAAATTTCTTAAGTCAAATAGAAATTTTTCATTAATAAATATTAAGAACCGTTGTCTCAGATTACAGAGTTAATGTTAGTAACACATATCTGTATCCATTGACGTTGATCAAAAAGTTGCAGCGGAATAGTCTTTTTGTGCAATGATCTTCCTCAGCCAAATCATTGTATTCCTTAATGGGACTTGATGTTACTTTTATGATGGGGAGACAGAGAGACATGTGTTTCTAATTTGGCATATTGGGGACCATGACCTTCTTTACGATTTTAAACCTGTTAGGATTCCTATTAACCCTTAACGGGCCAAATCTGGTTTCTACTTATTTGGGTCCATATCAATTTTTCTTGTTAGCAGTCTAAAGGCTCACTAAAATTATATCACTTTTATTGAGCCCAACTAAATGTAAATAACTAATATAAATACTACAAATAATATATGTAGCCCACAATAATTATTAAAAATAAATTTTTTAACACAAAAATCTTATCTTTTACATTTGTAGACATACTAGTAACAGAAAAAGAAGTGAGAATATTTCCTCAATTGAAGCTCCTAATCAAGGAGAGTGTACTAAAATCTTAACTGCTAGTATTCAAAACTTGAGATTGTATTAACCTGTTCTACTTAGATCTAGGTGTAGAGGGTTAGGAGGGTGGAAAATTTTTTCAACCAATTGGTTGAGATTACTCATAGAAGAAGGTTATGAGAGTGAGGTTCTCAACAAGTGTTGAGAAAGTTATTTAGCATATAGCTTAGGGTTCTATTCAAACAGTAGGTGACTGGTTTGTGTAGGGAAAATACAGCATGTGACTGGTGTTTGTAAGAAGAGTAGCTACTGATCATGAATCTCACAATGTGTGTGAGGATTGGATGTAGTTCAAGGTTGGGTGAACTAGTATAAATCATTGTTTACAATTTCTCTTACCTTATCTCCTTTACTTGCTTCAACTATTTATTATTAATTATGTGTTACATGTTCAATCGTTATGTAAAAATCTATTAAAGGACTTTATAAAAAAAAAAAAAAAAAAAAAAAAACAAATTTTAAAAAAACA